TTGAAGCAACGTGTTGGGGCAACATGTTTGGGAAAATTTCCGAATGGTATCCCCCGAGTACGGAATTAAGGAAAATAATACACTTTCCACTAAATTTACACGTTATTTACACTTAATTTGAAAGAAATTTTTTTTCTTAATGAACTTTAGAGCGAATTCAAAAATGCAATTGGTTTTTTGATATATTTAATACTTTCCCTGTAAATGCAGTTTGAAGTTGAAAATTTTAGTACTTGTAGCCTTTGCATAGGTACGTACATATAGTTCGCTCTATTTTAACCCTGTAAGTGCTTCGCTCTTTTGATCCTGTCTGCGGGGTTGTTAGTCGAAACGACTAACACCAACTTTGAATTTAAATAACAAACATAGAACAGTTATCAAGGAAAATACATTTTATGATTTTTAGTCCTTTATATTTTTTAAAACATACTAACAAAATATCAAATACATATTCTTTTCTCTGTTACATATAATAATAAAAAAGGTAAATGACTTCAGAGAGAGGTATGAAGCGAAGCACGATTTTTGTTAGTCGAATCGACTAACAAAGAACGTCCAGGGTTTAAGAGAGAGGTGTCAAATGATAGGGCTGGGCCTGTAGATGTGCAATAAAGTTTTATTGTTTTTAAACGGGTTGCCACCTGTTACAAGTTTTCTTAAAATTATTTAATAAGCTGAATGAATTAGATATTACAATATGGATATCAATTGAAATGGTTTTGAAAATGCTGTACTTGTAAACAGTACGTAGTAACGTTGCCACATATTTAAAAAATCAAATTCAGTTTAACTAAGGGAATAAGGTAACTGAAATATGTATATCAAAATGGATATCAGACACAAGAAAAAATTGGACGTATTTACCAAGAAATAAGTGAAGAGTAAAAATATTCCTGGGTTAATTTAAGAGTCCAGTAGTTTAAAAGGAACGTAATCAGAACAAATCACTGATTGACAATGTATGTATTTCTAATAAAATAATAAATAATAAAAATAATAGTTCTCAAAAATTTACTTGCCGCGAACTTTGCTACCGATTCACACACACGCTCTAAGAAATAATAATAATGATACCAATATTATAATAATTCATTTAACTTATTAAATAATTTGAATTAAATTTTTGAAGAGGTGGCAACTATAAAAAAAATAAACGTTTATTTTAAATTTACAGGTAAATATTTTTAATCTGACACCTCGTTTTTGAAAATTGAATGATTCGTGCGTATCTGATGGCACTGACAAGAAATGAAAAGATTAGGAAAAAAACGCATTATTTCAAAAAGTGCAAAAAATGTGCAGCTTTCTATTTTGGAAGCTAAAAAACCGCAATATTAAATAAAGTAATAAAAAAACCTATTTTTACATATATTTTTTATTCATTTCATTAAAAGTGTCAATTTTTGAAATTTTTACAAAAAAAAAATGTCCTTCTGAAATACCGTAAGGACGCCCTATCTTTAATTTTTTTCCAAAATTTTTATTCTTGTAGTTATCTACTACATATATGGAAATAAAGAACGTAACGGTTTAATTCAGGCGATGTATTTTCGATATTTATTTCCGTGAAGAGCTAACGCATGGCTATGCTCTGATTAAAATTCTTAGTATAAAATTTATTGAGTTTAGTGGCTTCTGGGCGGCATATAATTTATTTTATAGAAAAATTTCTGTTTTATTCTTTTTAGTGGATAAATTACCTTTACAAAAATATCAAACACGTTCACATTGCCGACAACGAATGTTTCGATTTATGCCCACTTAGGCGGCACTGTGCGACTCCCTTTCATGTGATTTCTTTAATCTGATGTTGGAGAAGATATAACAGCTGCAGAAAAAGAAAGAGAAAAGCAAAGCGATTGGGTCTGGTGGTCAACGAAGACAATACCAAGTATATAATTTCGAGAAAGTAGAGAATTTCGTTTACTTGATAAATAGCATTAACACCAATAAAAATGTCAGCATAGAAATCCAACGCAGTGTTACTTTGGACTGAGTAGGCAATTCAGAAGTAAAGTCCTCTCTCGACATGCGAAAACCACTATCTATGAGTCACTCACCATGCCCGTGCTGGTATATGGAGCAGTGTTGCCGTTTTAGCCCTTTGGTGGCTAGATTTAGCTACCACATACTTTTTTTGGCCACATAAATTTAAAATTGCCCCTAGCCTTTTTTTTAGCCCTTTGGAGAATTTATTCATACTTGGCATGAAAAAGTTGTATATGCTTAATTTGACCTCATTTTTCATTTATGTAAGAGATGAATTTTTAAACTAAGAAAGACTGATATATATACAAATATGTATTTTATGTTCCTTAAGTTTTATACATACATACTGTAAAAGTGTTAGGGCTGTTAACTTATCTATGAACGATTTAACTATAGTTTAAAATAGGTAAGTTTACGGCCCTTAATATGCTTAATTTGTTAACAGGTCCATCAAGTTGATTGACCGTGTATGTTATTGTGGTATGATTGTACCAGCTGCTGGTGCGACTTTAAAAACTATTTGAACATTTTATGATTGTACCAGAATGCTGGTGTCGTGAGTGGTGAAATTAGCTCAATTTTCTAAGTAAAAAGTATTTTGGCGGAAATTTCTTGCACTATTTGAGTCAAGGCCGTGTTTGTGGAAGATTAAGGTCACGATATTGCAGTTGTGAATTAAAAAAAAAAAAAACAATGTTTAACAAAAAGGCAGAAAAATTATGAAATTTCGGCTCTAATCATTTCGATCTTTCCTCGACCTCATTTTTAAAGAAATAAATATTGTAGCAGCAGTATGCTTCGAGCCTGATGGTACAATCACTTGATGGAGCCAGCAAGCTGGTGTCGTATATTTCCCCTTTTATAGAAAAAGGTTTTTGGTTGGATAAAATATCAGATTTTTTTCCAGAGTTCATTGTTTTTATATACCATTACTTATTGTGAATGTTTGCGTGTATACTTATATATGTATATGTAAGTAAACAATTTTAGCTACCATTTTTAGCCACAACGACTTTTTTTAGCACTTTTCTAGCCCCTTTTTTAAAGGAATTTGGCTACCACTAAAAATGATTCGCGGCAACACTGATATGGAGCAGAAGCATGGAGAACAACAACATCCGATGGGGCGGCTCTTAGAGTATTCGGGAGAAAGATTTTGCAGAAGATTTACGGGCCTTTACGCATTGGCGACGGCGAGTACCGCAGACGATGGAACGATGAGCTGTATAAGCTTTACAACGATATGGACATAGTGCAGCGAATTAAAATACTGCAGTTCCGTTGGCTTGGCTATGTCGTTCGAATGTACACCGACGCCCCAGCTTTGGAAGTATACAACTCGAAACCTGCTGGTGATGGCAAAGGAAGAGGGAGGCCTCACTGCGATGGAAGGACCAGGTGGAGTAGGACTTGGCTATACTTCGCATTTCCAATTGGCGTCAGTTGGCACTGAAGAGAAACGACAGGCGGGCTTTGTTGAACTCGGCCAAAATCGTTTAGGCGGTTGCAGCGCCAAATAAGAAGAAGCAAAACTTACGCTATCTTTCAAATCTGCAAGAGTATTAAATATTATTAAAAACCTTTCAGGAAATTAGCAAAGTTATTAGCTTATCTCAGCTGATTTTCGCAATCAATCCATATAAAAAACATGATTTGACGCTTAATTTGATTTATTTGTCAAAAATGCCAACGCTTAAGAGTTGTATGTCAGCTAAGTTAACATAAGGCTTTCATATTTTTTTTTTGTAATTTGAAAAAAAAAATAATTATTAGAAATACAGCGTTGAAATATCTTGTTTGTTGTCTAGTACTTAGCTTGTACGTCTGTCTGCGCAAACACTTAGTTTCATGTGCAAGTATTTACTTGGATTTTTAATAGATCGAGATTCGTATGCTTATATAAAATGTATGTTTGTATATAGCTTGCGGGCATGTACACACAAATGTACCATATTTTGCTTGTTTTTCTCTTTTTGTCACTTTGTCCGCCTGTCTGTCCGCTGTCAACAAGCGTATCGAATTCTTGCCGCACTTGAATTATTACATAAAAACAACTATTGACTTTGACGTTTTGAAACGGAAAGTGATCTTACAAGAATTGGCATATTAAAGGCAAAAAATTATACAAGTAATCAGTAATTCTAACAGCGTACAAAATCAGGTTGATTCTAAAGACATAATTTTTTTTTTTCATTAACTTCAGAATATGGGCACACGTGTGGTGGTGAAGGTGTTCAAATCCACTTTGGTACTTATCAATCGAGACTGCTGTAGGTAACCACCTACTCTGTCGCGTTCACAAGCAATGTATGTATGTATGTATGTGTGTGTGCCCTCGTACAACCAAAGAAATTTCTAAATCTTTTAAGTACTTTTTCATATATGGACGACCCCGAACTTGCGCTGCATTGCGATGCCTTTGAAGCTACATATTTCCATTCGCTTGGTTGCTACGGGCGCGCTGAATACCTTCAGGGTATGTTACTTTTTATAAATGGCGTTGGTGGACAAGATCTAAGTAGCTGCATACTCGTAGGTATGTG